AATTTGTAATCAAATTTTCTCTGATCAGATCAATTACAGAGCTCAATTACCCCATTATTATACCTTGAATATTCTGATGTAAGAAAAAGCCTGGAATAAAGCTACCAAAAATTTAGTTAAGCAGACAGTACCCTTAAAATTTTAGGAATTATTGACTATCTTACAATGAACCTATCAACTATATACTTCTCGTAGTCCTTTCTAGCTTTTTACTACACAGCACATCACTCCTTTTGTACTTCATTGATTGCTAAAAGAAGATTTTCTAACACTAAATTTAGAAACTCAATTGGTTGCTCAAAATGAACTATGAGAATTGATAACATTTACCAATTTCACAGGAGCTTAATTTCAAGAAGAGACACATGTTAGAGGAGGAATTTATTTGTCACATTAGAGATAGCATTTCTTTTATTATATAAAGTTTTTATTTGTTATATCAATTTTTTTTAACACCAATTCCATTTTGACAACAATAACTGATCTTGTATTACTGTTTTCAATTATTTATACTATTTTGGAAATTGAATGTGACTTAGTGATACATGAAAATCAAGTGAATCACATACATACCAAAAAATTCATATGTATGTAATTACACCAAAGGCCTGTTATCAAATCTTTCAGTGTCTATGTTAAATTGTCAAATATTCACCCAAAGTATCACATAAACATTTGAATTTGGGTGTGAATGTTAAATCTTGATGTCTACATTAATAAGAAATTAAACTGTATTTAAAGACTAAAAGTTCAATAAAGAAGAATAATCTATTTTTTTCTTTTTGTTCTTCATCTAAGTAAATCAAAAGTAAATGCTTATCTGAAACCTCCCTTGTAAATTATCTCTTGAATTCGACTTGTAACATTAATAAACCTTTCGAGACTCAATTCGATGGACTGAATTGACTTATAACATTGATTTGGCTTATTAAGACTTGAATTATCATATAATTAATAATCCTAGTAGGAAAATATAAACAACTGATAGCGGAATTAAATATTGTCATTCACGGTACCTGTAGAAGTGGCAGTAAAGAGAATATCTCCGTCGATAGTCACGTGACCCTAATATATCATCAAATCCTCATCACGGTCTTCAAGATCACCACCCTTTACAGCATCACCTATAGTCGCATTGCCTCTTGATCGATATCAAGCACCCGCCCCCCTAAATCATATTTAACAGAACGGTTTCCAACTAATATAAAGAACCTGTATCGTCTACTAACATAACTCCTATCTTCCCGTATACCGTTGGAGTTAAATTGGTCTTTTATCTATACTAGTTAACTTGCTCTCCCATTCAACGGTTACAATATCCCTTAGGACAAGAATATAAGGAAAATGTATCATGAGGATATGATTATCATGTGACGATGGATATTCATTTTGTTCTGGAAGTAGCAAGCTGTACGATTCATTATATCCAGTTGGACATACTACTGGTAACATTATTTAAACATAATAAAGAAGATAGCATTTTTATACTAAAAACAGTGTCAACTTAGGTAATTAACAGTTGAAAAAATTAAGCTTTATATTTTACAAAGCAAAATATGTAACATTTATCCGACATTTCATATGATCACGTAATTTTTTTTGCCGTGATATTTTTTGCAATCAGTTTTGCAAAATATCACGGAAAAAACTTCACATGGCCATATTAACTATCGGATAACATCAATATTGGGCAAATAACAAAAAATAACAAGAAATTTTTTGTGTCGTTTGCCCAATATTGTATACTTATAATAAATTTTAAGAAATTGTGTATCATCTTCCTAATGATTCAATGGCACTGTATATTAAGGTTGGCAAAGTCTTGGTATTTTTCGGACCGGGCTGCTCTGAAAATATAATCGCCTTGTATTAATGATGTCCGAAATTAATAATGTCGTTTGTTTTTACTTGTTATTCAAAAAAATAAAATTTAATTAATAGTAAATGTTTGAAATTATGATTTATTTTATAAGCTTAAAACTTTTAGAACGTCCGAAAACCAACTTTACTGTATATCCATATATTGGATTTAGATCACAAGGTGTATCCGTAGAAGTAAACTTCGACCATAAAACATTTCAATTATTCTGGCAATTTTTTCTAAGAGGTCTAATCATCTTAGCTTATTTCTGTATTTAAATTTTAGCTTTGCTTATATGTTTATTTCTATTAACAGCAATGACCATCGAAAACATTAATAAAAGATCAAATAATGTATTAATATTGAAACATCAAGAAAATATTCACTCTGTTGTGGGCAGAAATGAAATGTACTTGTTAATTTAACAGATGAATTAACAATAAATAAATAAAACTTAAGAATGTTTAACTTTATCGATAAATATACCTTTTTTTTCATATTAATTTTTAAAAATGGAAAGTTACAACCTTTTAGCATGTGAAACCTTTGATTGAATATTAAAAACTTTTATTCATCAAAGGAAAAACAATCCTATTTAATAAATATAATCAATGTTTAACTGTACTTAAATATTACAACGACTTACAGAACTCAAAATTTAAATACAGTGTTGAGTAACATAATTTTAAAATTATTTACGTTGGTGCAACTGAAGAATTTTATAAGATTAAATGACTTGGGGATGCAAGTTTGTCCCATCGAAAACTTTTAAATCGATGTAAATATTTCTTAAGTTTACATAATGTAAATTTTTTTTATGTTTTAATGTGCATATTTTTTATTGGTTTTTTTTTTATTGTTTGGTTTTTATTTGTATTGCCCATTTTTTTTTATTATTTATGTGAATTTTTTTTATCATTTGTTTTGTATTATTGATTATGGCTAAAATTTATTATTAAAGTTTTTGATTTGTTTATATAATATTTTGCTTTTTTCGCTTTTTTTCATGCAAAAGAATTTCAATAATATAATTAATATTATTGCTTGGGTTATATAATTTATCGCTTGGGCATATGATTTTAAAATTTTAAAAATTTCACCGAATGAAAAATGACTTAGGTCATTTCAAAAGTCAATAATGATCTAGGTCAATTCGGAATCGACCTAAATTGTGAAATGACTCAGAACATATGCTCATCGCCAATAAGATCAATAGATCAGGTGTGACGTGAAATCACGCGTTTTTTTAAAAAACAGACTATAACTAAAAATTTTGACTATTAAAAGCTACTTTCTGCGCTCTAATAAAAAAATTCCTCGTGAAATTTTAATATAGTGCATGCATATTTTAGTCTTTATTCCAACCCTAACATGAGGTTTAGTACTTTAAAATATTACACATTAAAATTGGTTTGATTATTCGAAAGAATCTGATTGGTGCATTTTTGGGTAGCTGCTTACCGTTACCGTTACTGCCGGTAAACCCATTTTAGGTAAATGAACAACATAGCTGTTAATTCGTTACTGCGCCACATCGGTCACCCCTTCCACGTGCATCTGGGATTACAGTCTTGCGGTTCACACAACATACGACTAGTACACCGAATTTAGAAAAAGTGATGATAACAAAATTCAATCAAATCGATCAAGAGAATCACGATAGGTATGGGCATAAAGCGTAACATAAATACTGTACCATTTCTTATATGCATTTTTAAATTAAAAAACAGATTCCTATGTTTTTCAATAAAGACATCTGTTACATTATGCTTGATCATAATTGAATCATCAATCGATTATTACATGCGCAAACAAGTCCTCTTATACTCGAACGACTTGTTCTGTATTTATTTAAACAACCCATTTCAATCTAGTATATACGTATTCTCTTGGCACTGTTCATTGAGGTATAACATTTCACAGATAGAAGCTATTAAAAATGCGTAACCATAAACGTAAATATACACATAAGTACGCACATACTTATAACACTGGTTTTGGTACGGACGTATGTACGTACGTACTTATGACACTGGTTTTGGTACGTATGTATGTGCGTACAAAAATAATTGTTGCATTTGTTAAGGATTATGTTACACATACTAATACATGTTAGGTTATTTTCATTTACAATCCTTGTATGTACGTTGTGGAAGGGAAAATCGATGCCAAGATGGCTTGGGTCGATTTGTCTGAAATTATTATCTACTATATCTACTATATCGATATAGACCATATATGCCAGATATGGCAGATATAGCATATCGAGTAGACAGAGCATATGGGCCTTATAGAGCAGAAATATCAAAAAAAAAATGTATATAAAGGTATTAGCACAAATTTACTAATTTCACCGCCGCTTCTGATTGGTTCTACTAATTATTTACATATTGGAATATATGCGTTATTAATCCATTTTGTAGTTCTCCGATAGTGAATTGGCGGGGAAATTAGGGCACTCCATTAGCACCATGAATAAAGTAAGGCACGACAGAGTTAGAGTTCAGATAAGTAAAACTGTATAAAGATAGAAATTAGTGAATAAATTCCGTGACTTCGTATTAAGAGGCCTGTAACGTATCTAAAATGGCCCTAGTTACTCAGATCATGAAGCTTTACCATTATTAAGGGTGAATTAGAGTAGTTTTAGTTAGTATAGTATAGTATAGTAGCATTTTTTTGTAATACAGAACATTTTACACTTCTACAACATACTTATGTACAGTACCATTACTGATAATAATATATTTCGTTTATTTAACCAGTACTGGTGCTTAGCCATTTGTGCTATTTACTTATTAACTTTACTGTATATAGAAGCTTCTAAGCATCAGTCGACAGATCTTATGCATGATTTTTAATAATCAATTTTGCACGCGATAAATATCGCCAAAGAAAGATTCTTTTCAATAATTAATTGGATAAACATTATCGGTATAATATTTTTTTAATTTAATTTTTCATAATTCTTTGTGGAATTTTTTGACAGTTGATCATTATCTAATTGATAATTTCAATAAATCTTTAACTCATTTTTTATCCATTAAAAGTTTAGAGAATCATATTTATATTTTAATTAATCTTCATTCACATGCATATTGATGTTTATTTTTTTGATCAAAATAAATCAAAATGTGTAATGACCTTTGATAATATTATTCATAAGGTATTAGTAGTTGTTACAGTATACTAATAATACAGAAATCTTATATAATATACGATTACTATACTGGTACAAGTAATCTATTTGGTTATAGTGGGTCATGTAACAAATATTTAATTTAAATTATATCATTAATTAACGTAAAGTTATTACCCCTGCAAAGAATAAAAACAAATTATACCTTATTTCATATGTACGACATATGAAAAGATATTCATTTACAAAATTGGACAAAATTTCTCGTAGAAAGAAACTTTAAAACATAAATACAGTCAAATATTTGTTATTACTCGTCTTTAGTCCCCTTTAAATTCTGATATTCCGTATAAACAATAAACATGTGCAAATAATGTAAAAATAAAAAAAAATACTTAAATACGTACCTATTTTTCTTGAATTAATTAATTAATTAATTATTATAGATATAATGAATTCTGATAGTTCTAAACTTCATTCTGTTGCGTCTGGAAACTCAAAGGAAAACAATCAAACACTTTCTTTAGTATTCATAGATGATGACAAAAGTATAGATAAAGATATAGTTGAAGATTGTTCACCTATTTTGAGTAAAGATAAATTACTAAATGGAAGAGAATTCTTTGATATTGAAGATTTAAATTATGCTTTACCATCTGATAAGTTGGAGGCTGACAGAGGATTTCTGTCGCATGTATTAAATAAGCATGTATGGAAAGGTAATTTTCATTCTCCAATTGCGGAAAGGTTGAAAAATGGTGGCACTAAAGTACTTGATATTGGGTAAATGTATTTTTTATTACACGCACACATATGTATATAATATATATATGTATTTCGATTTTATATACGAGAATTAATTTCTTTAAATTTAAAAGATGTAGTTCTGGTAATTGGATAATTGATATGGCATTAGAATATCCATCTTCAACATTTATAGGAATTGATGTAGATTCTTCCTTTTTTCCGTCGAATGATAAATGTCCTCCAAACGTCTGTTTTCTTACATCCAATGTAACTTATGGAATTCCATTTCCTATGGAAACTTTT